ATTCAGGTCGAGGCCCTGGTCACTCTGACGCTGCGACGTAAGGCTGCTCTTGACGTAAATCCCTGCCATGATGTCACTTGACGAAATGAGCTTCCAGCCTTCTGGGGGGTCCTGTGTCTGGGCGGCCGCTTCAGCCAGCCCGAGCCCGGCCAAACCGAATGGTCAGAGACATGGGAAGCAGGCAGATTGACGAAAAAATAACAAGAAAAAGACTGGTAGATATCGCAAGTGAGAGGGACACTACGAAAGTCGATGCTTCCGTCGAGCTTAAAATGCCAGCCAGCCTTGCGACGGGAAGAAACAAAAAGGGGTCAACGGGCTGCTGGTCCGTTCGCTGGTGCACACAATTTATTCTACGGGTCAGGACAGAGAAGAAAGTCCAAAAAAAAGGGCCCGACGCCTCCCCATGTCGCCAACGACTGCTGGCCCTCTATCTACCTGATTCTGTTCCCCGCCAGCTCCCGGGGGTATGTGTGTGTGTGTGTGTGTGTGCGTGTATGCTCACGAGCTTGGAGGGTCAAGTCCTGGGACCTGATGGGACGACGCGTACGCCAGCTCGGCATAGTGGGGGTGTTTTTCGCAAAACGCAGCGATTGGCGCCTTGCCTCCCCGCCCCGGCCATCATCGCCATGACAGTTCTTTTTGTTTGCGCCGACAGGCTGGGAGGGTTCCAAAGCCGGATTCGACTCAGGGCAGGGCGGGTCAGGTGCCGCAGGGAAGAGAGATTTGCAAAGTCTACCGCCAGAGACGCCATGAGACAGACATAGACCGACCATGCGATCGATGCATGTATGCATGCGTGCGTGTTGGCGAGGTGAGACCTGTTCTCACTCTTCACGTCGTGTGGCCTGCTTCCTCTGATGCCTCTGGAATGCTGACGGCGCTATCGATCTGACGGCGGCGGGCGGCGGAGGGATCGCTGTGGCTTGCCATGCTCGTGTGGCGCCTGTGCTTTCCCGGCATATCGTGACTGACCGCCTCCAACCCGGATGTGAACGAACGGTTGGTTTTCGAAGCCGCTGCAGTGAGCTACAGTCCGCGCCACAGTCAGAGGAGTATCATGATGGCCAGCATGTCACTCTGCTGGTGGTCGCAGAAAGAAGCATGGGAAAGATAAAGAAAAACAATATCACACACATCACGGGGAGCGGCGCGGAATGGAAGAGATGGGAGCCATCGTTGTTCATGCTTCTACCCACTTTGAACGACAGGATCTGCAATGA